GTTCTTTACTGTATAAAAGTGCCTGTAAACTCTCATGCTGTATGCTTACAGTGGAATGATTCCTGTAATGCATCCTTTTCAGCTGAATCGCAAATAAACCTCGATCGCTGGACTTCTTCCGCCTCTGAGGAGCTTATTAATTTTTAAACATTTCTGCGCTATGGGATTGGCTTCCAGAAAGCTCACCAAGGTATCCAGGGACTCTCTTTGGTGCAGTCCCTGGGGTCTCCTCCCTGGAGGGACCCCCCAAAAGAGCTCGATATCACCTGGATTCTTGTATTAAGGACATTGTCCTGCTCGATTGTTGCCATCTCAACAGCCACAAAAAAAGTATCGGGCAGCATTACAAAACCATCATTAGAACTATTACTTCACAATTTAGTGGGACCATACTCTAAATAGACAAATAGCTAAAAGTTACAGTTTTGCCACAAAAGTGTTAAGTTATTCCTGCTACAACCGTAGCGTAATATGGTTATATCTTTGTTGCTAGGAAAAAATTAATTAATTGCAAATAACTTCTTGTTGGTTACAGTCAAACTAGCAGCAAGAAACAATTATCAGTTTTCACAGCCCACTGGTTTAATAGGTCTTAAATCCTGAAGCTTTCAGAGTCAGCGGGTTAGCAATGTCAACAGCTTGAAAATGTGAGTTGTCATTCATTAGTCACTGGCATGGCCTTTGTTCCTTCTAGGTCTTGTCTCACAGTTTTCCTTTAGCAGTACAATATTAAATGTCAGGGTGTGTCTGGCACAATGGGAATCATGTTCAGTAACCATTTATTGCTATGCTGATAACTGAACACACTTCTAAGCATGGTTGTTTTTTTCAAACACATTCTTCCTATTTCAAAAATATTTTAAAATTGCTTGCCTTTTTGAACTTTCTCATGCCTCTTTAGAGCACACATCCCTTCAAGTACCTTGATGCTTTTAAAGTATTCAGCAAGTTTCATGGTATGAATGGATAAGAACAAATTATTATTTCTGTATAAAGCAAAAAACTGCAATATGGTTGTATTAGAAACTTGCTTGCACTATAAATAGTTACTTGGGTGTGAAATCCACAAATCACGCTCCTGTGTCATTCCTATTAATATTTATTTTAGTTATTGGGTGGGGTGGGGGTCCACCGTTTGGTAGATTGCACCAAAAGTACAATTTCTAAGGAAATGTTTTCAATATAGTTGCTATGTAACAGGCATGAAAGAGATGCTACATTCTGTGAAGTAAGGTATGTTTTTTCATCTTCTTTGCTAACAACTGGAGAAAAAAATTGCACAAGAGCTCTGGTAAGATTTAATGATTCCAAAAAAAGGGATTAAGTGTGATACTGTACATTAAACAAGTAGACTACAGAACCAAACCTGTAGTTTATGCTAGTTAGAATGACAGGCAAAGTCTTCTTTGCCTGATTTAGATTAGATTAGTAACTCTACAGTGTGGGAGTGAGGATGGTAAACTCTCAGAGGTCACATCATTTCCTATTTTTGCCCTTAGCATTGGTAGTTGCATGCTACCTGTGCACACCTTCTCAAACTGCATCTTGGAGAATAGAATATTTAACACAAATTCAGAGGGAGGAGTAGATCAAAATTATTATTATTATTACACATATTACTAGTATATTTGACTTTTAACATCTTTAGTTTGCTAGTTATTCTTTCTGCCTAGAACTTACAGGAGTTAGAAAAACACACCACTGTATTTTTCTCTAAGAGATCCCCAGTCAATTCCATTACCTACATTTATAGTGCTATGATTCCACTTTAATTGCCATGGTGACAACATTTGGAATCCTGGGGCTCCTTACAGGGAGCGGTCAACCCTCCTGTTCAAGGAGCTCCACTGGTTGTCATTCATTTTCCGGACCCAATTCGAGGTGCAGGTTCTTACCTACAAAGCCCTGAACGGTTTGGGACCCGCCTACCTGCGTGACCGCATCTCTGTATACGAACCCACACGGTCTCTTCGATCATCTGGAGAGGCCCTGCTTGCGATCCCACCTGCATCGCAGGTGCGACTGGTGGGGACGAGAGAGAGGGCCTTTTCGGTGGTGGCCCCTCGACTTTGGAACTCACTTCCTAAGGACATCAGGCAGGCCCCAACTCTGGCAGTCTTTAGGAGGAGCTTGAAGACGTGGTTGTTCCAATGTGCCTTCCCAGAATAATGATTCCATAGCACTTTGTCCTCCAAGCACTTTACATTTTTTAGGTCTGCTTGTATGTTTTCCACAAATGCCCCATCACTTTTTCCAGCATCACTTCCAATTTTAATTCTACATTTGGCCTTCCCACAGTTTTAATCGTGTGGTCTTATTGTTAATGTTGTATTATTTTATTGTCCATGTTTTTATTTAATTGCTTGTATTGTCATTTTATTGCTTGTATTGTTGTATTTGGGCTCGGCCTCATGTAAGCCGCACCGAGTCCCTTGAGGAGATGGTAGCGGGGTACAAATAAAGTGTTATTTATTTATTTATTTATTTATTTATTTATTTAATCTTGGAATTTGCAGTTTAGGGAGGTGCACTGAGAAATCTCAACTAGATAGCTCTTGACTTCATCAAACAACAAATCCACAGAATCTACAGAATGTTTCCATGGCAAGTTAAAGTGGAATCATAGTGGTGCACTAGGGTCCTCAGCAACAGCTTTTCCTCCTCTTTTGATTCCTATCGTTCATCTTTGCTGTCTCCATCACTTCTGTAACAAGAGATCCTTCTGTATTCCAGTTAGTTCCATATGAATATAGAAGACTGGGGGTGCTTTCACACAATGCGGGTTTAAAAAGTGCGGCAAAAAATCCTGAAGCCTAACAGCATGTCCCCACACAGACCTGTCAGTCTTAGGAAATGCTCCTAAGACTGCTGTCCTCACACCTTATTTGAAGCAGATTTTACAAGTCCATAAGATGGAGGGGAAATGGGAAGGTTTTAAAAAAATCTCCCTGAGATTTGCTGGATTTCATACGTGCTCATGCGGAGATCCTAATATACACACAAGCAGATTTCTTATCTCTTTCTTCATGCTGTTATACATTCAAGCTCTGTTTAATATTATAAACATTCGTTAGAACAAAGGAATGGTTGCAGAGAGTTCTAATTGTAATTGTATTCCAACTCTGCTTCCGTTTAGCTACCTGTGTGTCCGTAGCTCAATTTTTTGACAGTCCAATTATCTATTTTGGGCTTTTAAAATGTGCACATGCATTGGAGCAGTCCACACATGGGGCTCAGAAGGAAGTCACGTGTTTTCCATGACTGGAGGACTATGCAGTCCTGTGAAGGTGTGCGTTTTTTTGGCTGGAATCCGGTTTTAAGTACATCTTTTAAACACATGCTTTTCAGTTGTTAACCCGATTCTGCCCACACTTTTCCCAAATGTCATTTAGACCCCCTCCCCTTTTACCCCGGTTTCCCCAGGTTTTTAGGCATGTATAGAAGGTCTCAAGTGTAAAGGGTTCTCAGGTTGGCTCTACACTATAGAATTAATGCAGTTTGACTCCACTTTAACTGCCATGGCTGAATGCTATGGACTTGTGGGACTTGTAGTTTGATAAGGCACCAACACTCTAAATACTTGCCACCTTATTATACTATCATTTTAAAGTGCTGGCTCCCATTTTCAATCATGTGGCTGCTTCCTGCAGAATTCTGGGGCTGGCAGTTTAGGGAAAACAAGGACTTCTCTGTCTGAGAACTCCAAAGGCTCTGCCCTAAACTACAAGCCCCAAAATTCAGCAGGAAACAGCCACATGATGGAAAGCAGGAACCAGCACTTAAAACACTAAAGTGATAAGGTCAATTCTCAAATGGGCTCACCAATCTATGCAATTCTAACATCAAATGGATTTGTCAACAGGTGTATTGTATCTCTCAAATGCATTATGAAATACTAACAAAAGCAACCCGTGATTATGAAATTCTGAACATCTGTTATATGCATAATTGGGATCCACTATAAATCACAAGCCATTTCAAATCATGAGTGGATCAGTAACACGAAAGAGAAGGAAATACGTTTTTTAATTTTTTTAATTTTGTAATTGACTGTGCTAATTCTTAAATGAAATGAAGAAAACAACATAATCATAGACTATATATTTGGCCATTTATTTTGGGGTAAAATTATTCAAATCAATGAACTGGCTGCTTTAGTGGCTTACATACTCATATAAAAAAGGTGGCAGATGGAAATGAAAAGGTTTTGAAAATATATGATAGCTTGTTGTTGTACCACATATTGTTTATTGGGGAATGTAACACTTTTCAAGGTTTCACGCATCCAATACTAGATGCATTATTTGATTTTTGTTTAAAAATCAAATTGTAGCTTACCATTTAAAACTCAACCTACTGAATTTCTTTAAGTAGCGAAGAATGCATGCCAATGATTGTTCCCAGTCTTGGATAAGCAGACATTTGTTAGCCTGGTTTAAGGATCCAAAAATCAAATGGTGTGTTTTTATTTATTTTATTAACACCAGATATTAAAATGGCTCTGAAAACCAATGCTGATATGCCAGTCGTGCCTCAAAAATATTTAAACATTATTATATCGTTGCTGAACATTCCAAGAGTGTTTTTCCCTCCCTCCTATGAAATTAATGCTTTTAGGCTGAATTTATGTCTGTCAACAAATAATGATCATAGATGTGAGCTGGCTCATAATCCAGAGGTAGTAGGTTACAATGTGTTGCCATGGAAACAGTGTTTTATTGCATTTTCTCTACTTGATTTAAGCCATTTGACAATCATAGCAACTGTTTGCCTGTCTTCTCACATCATAAAAAATTCAAAAACACAAACAACCCATTGCAGAAAATATATCAGGGTTGGACCGCAATATTAAAAAGAATAAGGGGGAAAAGGTTAAAGGGGGAGGAAATGACAAGCTTACATTTAACACAGATCTTTTGTGAACAGTTTATCTCACAGAAATGTCCAAGAGTGTTGGAAAATTCAATCAGCGGTTAGTCATCAAATGGCTCTTTCTTGCCCATGGTTCGTTTTGTTTATTACATCATATATCTTTTATGTTCAGTAAGACTTTAGCTTGAAACAGCATTTTCTTTAACAAGAGCCATGCTTCCTCCAACGCTGTTTATTGCATCTGAAACATTATTCTTTTCAACCATGGTCCATTTTCAGTTGAGCAAAGGTCTGTAACTGAATACAGCATGTCTGTGTTTATTCAGGATCTCGAGTAAGAAATCTCTCCGTTCATGTAACATTAATCACTTTCCCAGTGTTCAGCTGAGGTCATTGCCACATTCCTAGCAGTATTAAGCCGAGTCAAGATTAATCACGTACATTAAACCCTGCAAGAGACGGACGTGAAAAGGATCTGAAATTAGACATTTGCTAAGAGGAGGCAGAGAGGGAGGGAGAAAGAACAGTGTAACAAAATATGCTTGCATTGCTGTACCAAGCATTGGGCACTGCTTGGGATCTTTCTTCTATTTCGACACAGGTTTCCAATGTCAATATTTTTATGAGAAAATTGACCGCAGGGAAACAATACTTATTATTTAATTGAACTGATAATTGTGTACACTGCTTTGGGAGCTCTTTTTTAGAGCTGAAAGGAACCACAAAGATATAAATGAAAAGGCTTGGTTCTTTTCCTGAGGCAATGTCCTGAGATGTCCAGATGGTTAATGGAGTATCATAGCATACGTAAACTTTAAAGAGGCTATACTAATGTCATTATGAAATATAGTTACATATAGTTCTATAAATTGCCTTAGCAAGCAATACTCAAACAGGACTTATAGTCTTGCGCCTAATCTCATGCGAAATGAACAGATCATTACATTTTTAAGAAGATTAATTTTCTAGCTAACTATAACTGAAAGGGTATTTGTCCAATGGATTTTCTTGCTGGTATGGCTGACATTACTTTATAACTTTGCTAATAGTGGAACATGCCAATGATCATAAATATTTTATAAATATATCTTTCTTCTGGTCAAGATTTGGGGGGAAGTAATTAAATTCCATTTTGGAGAGCTAACGTGGAGCAGTGGGGCTACTGTCACAGTTATTCCCTTTCTCAAAACTGTTTCCTCCTGAAGTGTTGCATGATAATGGATGGAATAAGATGGTGTCCATTTGCAGATGATACTCAGCTCTGTCTTTCTTTTTCAAATGCAGATGTAACAGTGATTATCCTTAATTGATTTGGTCTGGTTGAGAGTTAAGTTGGATGGGCTGAATGAGGATCAATAAACTGAGACTTAAGGTGCATCTATACTGTAGAAGACATGCAATTTTAACAGTCATTAACAACCATGGTTCAATGCCAGAGAATCATGGGATGTGTAGTTTGTGGAGGGACACTCACTCTTTGGCAGAGAAAACTAAAGGCCCTGTAAGGCTATGGGCCCATCCAGGCAGGGCCCATAACACAGGAGCTTCCGCGATTTCCCCAGAGACGTCCAAATGATGTCTCCAGTGAAACTGAATTAATTCAGGACAAAGCAGGAAAACCCTCTACTCAAAATCTCTTTTAAAACCATTTTTTTAAAAAAACTTACTTGACCACCAATAGCACACCCCCAAAGTCCTCCTGGCATGGCAAAAAACACAGCAGGAGAAGGGGGGGTGAGAAGGAAAAAATTTCTTCACCCCCCCCCCCCCCCCCCCCCCGCCTAGTGTGTCATCTCTACATACCAGGAGGACTCCGGCAGCATGTTAATGATCCCTTCCCTCTCAATTTGTAGAAAGCTCTCCCAAAAGAAATCTTCCTTCCTCTTCATTTATGCAACAGGCTAAACTTTTTCTGACAGGCATACAACTTTGAATATCCTGATGTTATTATCAGTTTTATTGCTACCTCTGAAAAATATAAATACTGATATTGTCTGTATTACAATTTTGGTTTTTTGTTGTTGTTTTACTTCCTTTCATTCTTATGGTTGTTAACTACCTTGAGAGCATTTGCCATTATAAAGATGGCACAGATGATTACATAGCAGAATGACAAAAAACAAGTATGAGAAAGAGCATTGGAATGATCTTGAGAATCATGATTAGATCCGCCAACTGCAGGTCCCTATGAGAATCTTCAGAATTCCATTAATAATGAGAGCCACACTAGATGACAAAGCATATGACAACTTTGCTCCTTAGATAAATATAACTCAGGGTGGGGAGAGGCCATTAGGACTTTGGTAAAGGAAAAGGATTAAAATATGTCACAGTTCTTAATTATTAATAGCTGCAAGATGATAAGTATAAACACCAATCAGTTAAACTCTGCAATAAATGAACATCTAGAAATACTTTAAAAAAAAAAAGAAGTCATTATGCATTGTTAACTAGATTTTACCTTCTCCCTTTCCAGTTTTCAGAGTAAATGAAATTGTTTTTAATGGCACATATTACTGGGCCATTTGAAAGGTGGTGCTGGAGAAGCGTTTTATGAATAGCATGAATTGCTAAAAGGAAAAATGAGCTACCTTCAGAGAAGCGGTTCCCAACACTCGATTCTGGCCACAGGGAAGCTGCTGCTTCACCGTCCACTTGTGACACCGAGTTCTTGATGGAGTACTTCTTCATTCTTACATACACTGCTGGAAGGTTTTATGGTATTGCAAATTAGTTAAAATAGCCTCCCTGCATAAAGCGGTACCTAAATTTCCTATTTGACAGAGGCAACTGTCTTTTGGGCTGCATAGGTTGACAGCAAGCTTGATTATTAATGGTCGGGAGCTTACTCCAACCCGGGCTGGCTTCGAACTCATGACCTCTTAGTAGTGATTTAATGCAGCTGGCTACTAACTAGCTGCACCACAGCCTGGTAAACACAGCACAATGTTGCTAACAAATTTGTATAAATAAGTGAAGTTCGGAAACCTTTTACTGTTGCCAAATTTTTCATGACTGAACATTGAGCTGAAGGGACCTCATTTGGGGATGGGACCCACAGTTTAAGAAGCAGGGAACTAGAAGATGGCTCTCAGAAAGCCCAGTCCAGCAGTGTAATTACTTCACACTGGTTCTCCACAAGAAGCTGGCTTTATATAAGTGGAAGCACAACATGTTCAGCAAGTTCAAACTCAAATGGTTTTATTGCCTTAGACTTCTAGATCTTTGCTGTGATATCTAGAATCCTTTGATTTCTAACATAATCTGAGTGAGGATAAAATTGCCCTGAATTACACTATTCAACAGTATTTCAAAGTACATTTCCATTGGCTATCACCCTGGATATCAACAGACTTTCTTTGTAAAGGAAAAAAATCAACTTAAAACAAAAAACAAAAAAGAAACCAAAATAAGGACACAACTTTCTCTTATTTTAAATAGCAGGTATAATGTCTTTATAATGCAATAATTAGAAGGGGGGAAAACAATTATGGAAGTCTTATCTGGACCTTGCAGCTGTACTTCCTCATTTTGCATTAGCAGTGTGTGTTGGAAGGTTATGACAAACCATGAAAATTGCATCTTAAGAAGAGTTTTATTTCTTTTCCTATGATTTGATTGAAACAGACAGCTACATTTTGTGTATATATAATTAGGCAGTAAAATAGTCTTTGAAGGCAGATTTCCATTTAGTATGTGAGTCACACACACAACAGGCTTTCATTCAACAGCCAAAAGACTGATCTTTTTAATGTCTCAGCTCACTCAGCCTGTTTTCTGAATGCTAGCTATATCCTGTGGAAAGAAAGAGGGAGGGTGAGGTGGGGGGAGAGAAAATATGGGAGAATGAGCTTTTAGGCCACATTTCTCTGTCACAAGGAGAAACAGAAATCCAATTGGAAAAGTCTGTTGTGATTTTAGTTCACAACAACACACTGGCTCCCCAGCCCCCCTCCTCCCTCCCTGACTGTTGGCCAGCGTGGCAATGAATGCTGCACCAGTTCTAGGCGTATCTAATCCCCCTCATAAAAGGCTATTGTAGCAATAAAACTGAAACCAATGGCTTTCCCTCCATTTATTCACTGCCTCTCGGCACACCAAACTAATAGCATGGGTGGGTGTGTGTTTCTCGTCACGTTTTCTTTTCCAACATACTTCCCCACCCCCTTTAAATGATAAAACAAGAAGAAATATTAAAGAGGAAGATCAGTCACATATTATTCAGTGGTAGTTATAGTGTTAGACGGAATCATCCACAAAGCACCACTGTTATAATGGAATGTATGATTGACATATTTATTCTTTCAGAAAAAATATTTCCTTACCAACCGTAACAGAGAAAAGCATATTGAATGAGTAGTATTTCAGGATCTATCCTGATGCTTTCTGAAAATCTGTTTGTTCCTTTTTTGTTCCTTGTCCTCAAAGTGATAAAACAGGTGATGAGTGATACTTCATGTGAACACTGTCTACTCCATGGAAGCAGGCCGCTGAATTTTAGCTGCTTTAACAACAGGCCAGTTGAAGGAGTGTTGTATTAAAGCATTGTTCCTGTGTATCCACTTTCCAGACAAAAAATCCCAGTTTCCTTTTCTCCAAATCAAAGTACATAGTGCCCTAAGCCATGGATCTAGTACTGTAGCTATTTGGCATTTAAAGTAGAAAAATCCTACAAATTTCTCTGCCTTTGACTCCCTTTCCCATCTCAGGCAATTAAAACATAAGATTTCTAAATGAAACAAAGAACAACGTGATGCAAATCCACAACACCACAGAACAGTGGGAGCAAATTGCACAGATTATACTGGATCTCACTGTTGCACAACCAACAACGCATTGTGTTTCCCTCATTTATAATGAATACCCTGCTCGGCTATTTTTAATTAGGATACCAACATTTTACAGCCCCTTAGAAAAGACAAGCACCTGCTTAATAGTACTTATGCCAGCATAGGTTGCCAACAGGATTACAACCAACTTTATTTTTCATCACACCACCAAAAAATCTCCAGTGATTGGCACTACATGATGCAAAATCACCTATCTGCTGTCCACTTAGGAAGCCAACCCTATATGCAAGGCAGAGTGGATAAAGTATGGAGTAGACGCGATCTGAAAGTCCAATAGGCCCCAGAATTGCCTACAAAAATGTTGCTGTCTCCAAATATGCTGCAGGAGAGGGGTTTATTTGAACATCTCCCTTATCACCTAATCCACCTAATCCATTTCAGGTCCAGGTGAACACTTTATTGAAACAAGAAGTGAGCTAGAGGCTGTCTTCCTGTTTATAAAAGGCATGCTCTGGATATAAAATATAAAATGTGATACAAGTTGCCCATCCCCATCCCCTCAGCTGCGCAATGCTTTCTGCATTTGTTTCAGAGTTCTTCTGGGGGAGTCAATGTGGCCCCTTGATGCCACACAGTTGATCACAATTGACATAAGGGAAATAAAAAGTGTGTGTGTGGTTTTTTTTTTTAGATATTGATGAACTCGTGTCCCCATCATCCTTCACCATTAGCCATGCTGGCAGCTGAAGGTGAGAATCAGGCCCCCGGTGGCGCAGTGGGTTAAACCCCAATTCTTTCTAGCCAGGAACGACTTGCAGTCACTCCTGACATGACAAAAAAAAAAGGCCCCTTCTAGAGCACTTACAGATAGAAATTTACTGTGAGCAAAAAAAGGTTAAAGTAACCTGTTTTTTCCTGCATTGCTGTTTCCACAGGTGCTCAAAAGAAGCAGGCTTTCCCAGGAGTCATCCCCATGCCAGTGCGGTAACTTCCGCACTGGCATAGGGGCCACCCGCCTCCAAGAGTTAAAAATAAAGGAATACTTGCTGGGTCACCATTAGGCCTCTCTGCAGATTTCCTAAAACATACCATTGACCTGCCAGAAGGCCGGGGTGGGTGGGAGTAGAAGGGCTCCTATACTGCCATATAATGGAGTTTCACAGACTGGATCTACACTGCCATATAATGTAGTTTCAGAATGCAGATTAACTGCATTGAACTGGATTATATGAGTTTACACTGCCATATAATCCAATTGAATGCAGTTAATCAGCATTATGAAACTGCATTATATGGCAGTGTAGATCCAGAGTCCAACAACCACTGGAGGGCCACAGGTTCTGCAGCCTTATTCTATGAACCTGGTCTCAAAGCAGCTGGTTTCAAGATATATAGGATTCTATATCCCCCCCCCATTTTTTTTAAACAGATAATTATTTTGTGTATAATGGGATCACATTAATTACGTTAAGTGTAAACCAACCAGCAAAGAGGGAAAATTATTCCACATAAGGTAAACTGTGAAATATACTTTTAAATGTGTTTAATATATAAATAGAACACTATCCATATGGAACATGTGTCATTTATGCTAGTAAATTGTAACTGCATTCACTGGTTCAGAAAGAGCTTTCTTTTAAATACTGAAATGCAAGGAAGTGTCATACTGCATTAGATTATAGCCTTTCATTTTGTCCTTCCAGGATTTTTTTTCTTCCAAAAAAGGAGGAAACAATAAAATGGAATAGAATAAACTGGAGCAAATCAGGCTGGCTCATGTTAAGAAAAGGTTTAACATAAACATTACACTTATTTCCTGAAGGATTAGGTCACTTAAACCAGCTCCAAACATGGACATATCAAAATAGCTTTGCTGTAATTTATGGGCTCTGCCACCAATGCTGTTTTAAATGTAACACATACATTTAAGAAAAATATGGCTTTCTCTAGCATGAAGCACCCAAAGTTTTATACAGATGACGGATTGGATTTAAAGATGTGAAACTAGTCTGGCAGAAATAGACCTCCATAGCCCTTCATTCACACAGAGCCCCTCCGACCTCTGCATCTCACCAAATGCAATACAGATGTGGAATGGATAGCCTTTGGAGCAGGAAAACCTCAGGGGATATTTGGAGGCACTTTCTTAGAGCAAACACATCTTAGAGCAAACACATCAAAAGTCATGGGAGAAGAAGAGTTAAGCAACAACAGCAATTGCAACAACAAAAAACAAAGCAGAACTTAGAAAAGTTTTTAAAGCTCATCTTTCAGTATTTCCCAGCCAAATTTATGCTTCTAATGGGCTTTGGTTCTGAGAGAAATCAAGCAAATAAAGAGAAGAATTCTAATTTAGTTTGCCTCCCATTTAGAGCTCCTTGTGTATTTGCAACCTTGCAATTCCTAATCCGACCAATCATTGTAGGCTACAGGGAGAATTGCTATTAACTTCCCACAAAATCAGTGATGCTGCCTTTTTCTATGTGTACATCCTCTTGCTGCAGTGAGCAGAAGACAAAGAAAGGTCTAATTTAGCCTTGTAGATGTTTGAAAGTCCCTTGTCCCATGAGCAATCATTTTAAATGACAGATTAATTAGTATTAAACAAGTCATTCTACTAAACAGGGCGGCTTCATTTATGTCCATTAACATAATAGTGCTTATTATAACAATAATAGTTCCAACAACAATGTTCTTATATGTCACACACAGAAATAATTAATAAATAAATAAATTGGGTGATAAAAAAAAGACCCCATGCAATGTTCCAAATGACCACACCAAAAGATTTATAACGTAAAACAAACTGAAACATGAGCTATTTCTACTTATACACCAGATTCAGCCAACCATTACATCTAGAATGGTTACAGTAAAAGCGTGCTCATAATTTCACCTGCCAGATATGT